AATTTTTCGAAAACAAACCGGTGTTGTAAAAAATTTCGGGAACGTGCGGACCACAAAAATTTTGAGAATCCTAAAAAGGTTTCGGAGCGCGTGGCTAATGCCTTAAACATTCATTCTAAAACACTCCCACTCCCCGGACGTGAATCCTGGGACCGCCACTGACAAATGTGTGATTTTCAAATTTCTTATTCTTTGATTTTGTTTCAAACTATTTACCTGACGCGAATCATGAAAATTACACTTATTATACTTGACATTGAGTCAAAACGATTATGATTTATGCAGAGTATGTGGAAAACATCTCTTTTTAGACATCCGAGATGGAACGCGCAGAAAGAGAAAAAGAGCAGTTGAATCAAACTATTGTGGAGTTACAGGCTGTCACTGACCGATTGGTAGTAACGCTTCTTTGATTGTTCACCTCACCGAGAGTATCAAAATTCAATTTAGACACTAGAAAACCTCCGAAACGAACATCAAGCCAAAGATCAAAAAGAACTGGCTGAGCATAGGAAAAAGCAGCACGATCAGCAAGTCGCTGCTATGGAAGAAGTGAGTGTAAGCAGTGTTGTTAATTATCAATTTTGGTTTCATTGCATAAAAAATGTAAACAATTTGAAAATGTAGATCAGTTAACCACATGTCACTGCCCGTTGCATTTATTTTCCCTTGCGAAAAGTTTTTTCAGTCAATTCGCGCTCTCACTGAAAGATGCACTACATTATCAATCGAGTTGAAGGAAAAGGACAAACAGTTGCGGGAAAAAAGCAGGCGTCTTCAGGAAGTTGAGAACAAAAATTCGCAAGTGGTTAGCATTGCTATCAAAATATACTTAGTACTCGCACTATTTCAGCAGCCGGAAGCGCTAATGGAAAAAATACTGAACGAGTTCCAACTCAAGAAAATTGAAGAGGATAGAAGGAAAGAAGCAAATGAGATTTTCAACAACAAAATGGCCAAGTATCACGAACAGTTGGTGGGTTGAACTTTGAATATTCTACTATCAACCGTCA